AAGAATTTTAGTAACAGTAAATGGTAACTAGGTACCTTGTCAAGAATACAAATAAGGCAGAAATGCTCTTATCAGATATGAGGCACCTGCAACCATATTTTTAAAAATGTATTTTTGAAATTATTTAAACTGTTCACATGCAAAAAGAATTCAGGCATTTCGCTTAAAAGTTTCATTCTGTTGAAACCTTTGGAGCAGAAAATAGGAGTTCCAAGCACTCAATGACACAGACATTTAGCATTGTCAGTACCCCCACAATCTTTGAAAGTGGAACATTCCGTTCTTTTCGATATTGCTGGATGATTACTTTAATCAGAATGCTGTTAATATTCCTGAGTGGGAAGATCTAATGGGCCTAATTAAATAAACAGAAAAGATGGGTAGCACCTTTTACGAATGCACATTTTATACTTTATGTATTTTGTTAAGATGCAATTGCAAAGCATTTCAAATTTACTAGGATGTCCAACAAATGATAAATTTTAATATAATCCAATTATGTTAGACCCCGAGAAAAATCCGCACTTGAGAGCAATCTACATTTTTCCTCAAAATCAAAAGCCAGGTCCCCCCAAATCTATATAATTTATGTTGCAACTTTTTTTTTTTCAAATTGTCATTCTCCGAAGAATGCCAGTGTGCAATGCACTGTTAGGAAAGAAATAGTCCTAACCAAGTCAAACATATAATTTCAACATGCTGTCTTGCATGATCCTTACCATGCTCTCAAAACTGACTGATGTTTTCCTAATGGTAACCAAAGTTGGTTCTTACATTTCATGAAATACAATATCCACTCTGATGGCATTTCAAGAATTCGCTACTTGGAAAAAGGATTTTTGGGAGGGGGGATTGGGATTGGACGTGTGAATAAATAGTGAGGAAGTGAGAAAAGAGAGGTCAGGGCAATGTTCAAAATGAAACATTTGGATAGAAATAAAAGAGAAAAAAGATTTAGTAAATCATAATATCTAGAATAGTTTTATTTTTTTCGTAGTCAATTCTTATAATTGGAGACAGATCTTTTGATCTTAATTCTACATAGGGTTCGGACAACCCTACACAGTATCCTATCAACATTACATAGGATACAAAAGGACTATTGAATATTAGTCCCTTATTAATAACAGGTTAACCATTAAACTAAAATATATGTTAGACATTTGCGTAGCAATCTGGAGACCTCTCTCCAGATTCAAATAATCTAGAATGATTAGATGATTAGTAAGTTCATCTCATGCCAGTAGAGCAAGGGTTTCCCTATAATAACTAAAAAAATCAAATTTGTATTGAATAAATGATGGTATAAATACCATCAAATTTATTATTTAATAAGCCTGATATCTCCTCTATGACGTGGATCAGCATATAGTATAAATGTATAATTGTGAGACCCAATGTAGGAGAAAAATTCCACTTACTGGTTGTATGGCTTTGTGAAGTTTACTTAGCCTCTGTTTCTCAGGCTTTCTCTGTAAAATGGGAAGATTACTACCGCCTCTACACTTCCAGTGGCTATTTTGGGGCCCAAGTAAATAACCCAAGTGAAAATGTGATACACTTATAGTTATTATACTGTGACTTTTACAGCAAAGATAATTTTTAATTTTAGCACATAACCTAGAATTCAGAGGTTGACTGTACCAAGCTGTAAAGCCTGGGCTGGATGGAAATGAGTTAAAAAGTGAGTTCAGGGTTGTTGATTTAGCATCCTGTGCTTAAAGCTAAGGATTTTCTCTAAAAACACTGCTGGGTGGGTATTTTGAATAAGGATTTCTAGAAGCTGTATCAATCCAAACAGACAAAAAAGTATTGTATATTTATTCACTCATGAGTAAACAGATATTTTTAAAGTACAAGACTCCTACTTTAAAATGTTGTTTCTTTATAAAAGGAAATAGGAATTTGTAACAACTATGATAATGATTTTGTAACAAAGTAGAGACAAATAGAATAATGGTTGGTTTAGGGAAACAGGAGAATGCTGGCATGACTTTGCTATTTCTGAGGATAAGCCATGGTTCTTTAGACCTGACAGTATTTAACACTGCAAATGAATATCTTCGTTTGTGAGAAACTTTTCTACTAAAACGATCAAGAGACTATTAAACAACTTTGAAAAACAGTTCTTATGCCTTAATTTTCTACCTCTCATATCTGTAGTGATGGTTTTAAAAGTTTAGGAGAGTGCAGCTATTTATCTACAGGCCAGAAGAGATACTCTTGAATAATTCGCTTTAGTTGCCTCTTGAAGAAAAAACAGGAAAGTTGTTCTGTTTTAAAAAAATACGTGTAACCACTATCTTACCTTTCATCTAAAAAACCTTTTCCTAGTCCTTACTTGAGAAAAAAGTCTTCTATTCGTTTCTTTCAGAGATTTCCGAAGAAACGATGCATATCAATTCGTGCATATGCAGTTTCACCTTGAGTTTCTGAACATTTAAAGAGGGTTTCCCTACCTTCCACCTCTCCCCCATTCTCCAAAGTCATACTGCACCTGCCAAAAGAGAGTGTCGTCTCTCTTCTCGGAGGACGCAAGGGGTCGCCCCTCTCCCAGGATTGCAACAGCAAACCAAGCCGCAACCGCAGACCCAAGTGCGAAGGATCAAGGAGCATCTCCTGCAGGAGCTCTCTCTCCCAGACCCACTCCCACGGAATAACTGGAATTGCAACCCAATTCCACCCATTCCCTCTTTCATCTCGGCGACACAACAAGAGGGCGCCTTTGACTTGGCTTTGAGATGGTCAAGGCTGAACAGGAGCTCCCCTTTTGACTCCGCGGTTCTTCCCTAGTCTGCACCATTCCGCTGCGCCCCGAAGCCCTGGGCAGCGTCAGGCGGCAGCTTCCCTCACCGTGGTGCTCGCTGCGGGAGGTGGGCATAGATGGACAGCAAGCTTTCTTTGCGGGGTCATCCGTCAGAAACGGAATCCCCCAAACTGCAAACGGAGACACCTCTGACATTCAGACCCTGCCCCGCCCTGGCAAGTGTGTGGTTCCCGGCCCGGGGCGGC